GGAGGGCGGACAAACACTGGCATAAAACTCATGTGGGCCCAGCATATAGCCCTGCAGCACGCTCGAGGTAGTGATGCATTTGAAGGAGAATTACCCCAAAGTGTGTGACGCTTGTGCCAGGTTATTAGCTGGCTTTATTTGCCCTAAACTATAATGGCCTGGTCATTGGTTAATTGCTAAATAAACACACATATTTGCTTTGGCTGCAACTCAACCAAAGGTTCAGGACAGACAAAACCAACAAGAACTTCTAAATGAGGGCCAAACTCCAGAAGACCTTCACAAACTCATCATTTGTGTTTGACCTGAAAGAACTTGGCAAATTTTAGCATCTGCTCTGTGGCAAGTTGTGGTGCAAAATATAATTAATGACTTGCTCAGAGTCTATGGCTTTCTAAAGACGAACAGAGTTGTCTCATTTCTCTCTCCTTGCAGACAGCTGGACTGTCTTTATCCAGTTGTACAGAGGTAGACCCCCTCCAACCCCAACTTTCGGTGGTTGTAGAAATATAATCAATAGATGTCTAATTTATTAAATACTCAAAACCACTTTTCCACTTCATTAATCCAATTCTGAAATTCGCAACATTGATTGAGAGACATATATTAAAGGCTCAAATAGTCAAAGCGGCTCTGTTTGTACCAACCAGGAGTGTCTAAATATCATGATAAATCATGAATTTTGTCTTATCTGATCTGCCTTCTTGGTTTTAACCTCTTTCATTAGAGATGCTTCCTACTATGGGCCTGGAAAACATTCTCTTCTACAGGCAAACATTTACTAAAGGAAGTTCTGAAATCTGGATCTGAGGCTCTCTGCCGGCCAGACACTGACGTAAATCACAGCACTTCAAACCCATTCTTTAACCGCAACCACCAGGAAAGTTCACCCAGAGAGTCACCCTCCTTCTAAACACGCCAAACGAGAGTGGTTTGGTCTGATTAATTGATGTCCTGTTGAAATGATAGAGGCTGAAGAATGAACTAAAGCCCAAAGCCCCAAAAATCCAGAGTTGGATTTCTGCACACATACATTTTCTCCAGATAGGGAGAGCAAGAAACTTAGTACAGGTTTTGCACTTTCTAGGATGTAATATCTTACAGCCTCGCTGATTGCACACATTAGAATTAAATTATTTATTAGAGTTTAAAAAATTGTATGTTACATTATAGGTTCAGATCTGTTCCTGTGTTATTTTCAGGAGAACTTGAGGAACATTACATTGCATTGCAAAATCTACTGAGACAATTGTAATAATTGTTATAATATTTAAAAAAATAAGTGAAGTAGATAGCAATGCTCAGATCATTTGGTTTCCATGAGTTCATACATTCAGACTTTTGAATACACAGGTAATCCTGACAAATTTCAGCCCACATTATTGAGATATCTTCTGAAGAGACGTGTGATGTTGAGGGTATTTTTCTTAGGAGAATGTTCTGAGAAGAAAACTTTAGCAAAGGTCCCATTTTGTTTTCCATTCAATCTTAAAATGAGAATATGTCAAGTAAAAGAAAGAAAGTGTTCTTTCTAAAAGCATCAGACTATAGAACCTTTTTGGGGTTTTATCTGGATTGTTGACATGATGAAAATATTACACTGAGAATGGGAGGCTATTTAGCTCATTTAGAGATGATATGAGATCAGCTGTTGATGTAGCAGCGGAGGAGGAGGAGTTCAGAGAGGTCTGATCAGGACTGTGCTCAGATGACTTGAGGAGGTAGACCGGTGAATACAGTATGATTGATGAAGCGAGCTCACTTAACTGCATGCATTAGCTCTCTCTAAACATTCTGGGCACACTTATTGATATTTCCATCTGTCATCTCCTCCCTCCACCACCCTGTACCCACAAGCCACTGGCTGTAAGGTCATTTTTTATAACAAGATACTTTTGAATCAAAGGGAATGCCATGTTGCCGCGGTGTGTTGGATCATTTGGCCGACAACTCCAGATTTAATGACATCTGGGAGTGAAAGGGAGGAAGGGGCATTGATATCGATTTGTTAAGGCATAATGCACCATATAAATCTGAAAGAGATATGCCTGACCCACGAAATGTGTAGTAATGATAACGCATTTTGTATTAAAGGGCAGCTAACACGTGTTTTTTTTTTTTTTTGGCAGGTTGATTAAATTTAGGGCTTCGTAAACATCAGGAGGGTCCTATGGCGAAGTTCTGCTTCCATTACTCTTCGCTGAGCTCTCAATATCGTTTACTGGAAAGCTGTGATTAGAGGCAAATTGACACAAAAACACACTTGAAGAAAATAAGATGGAGTTCGCGCATCTCTGCAGAGAATGAAGCATTTTTCTTTCCAGGAAGAGAAATATCGAGGTGCTGAGGCACTATAAGAAGAACATGTTTTTTGTTTATGTTTCATTGAGCTTTTTGGCTACGAGGCGAACTAGGACAACATCAGTGATGTAGTCCATGTTGCCGTTTATATAAGCTCTGGGGTTTAAAGTATTGCTGATGGACAAAGAAAAAAAGTGACAGAAAAAAATGGAGAAAAGGATAGGGAAGTCATGCAGTGTGAATGAGGTTGTTCTCTGGGCCACTATGATAAGGAAAGGAGATGTCTGGAGGAGCTTCATGTGCTACTACAGCTGGTGTTTGGCCTGGCTTGGCCTTTTGACAGTAATTCCAGACCTAGATTAGCTGTCATCTTATGCCAAATCACACTCCAAACCCCCTGCCTACTGCCCCCTCACCCCCTGGCCTTGTCCCTGCCCTCTCTACCCTAAAAAAGATCATGTGATGTTCTGATTTATATAGACTACACTCACAGTCGACAAAGTGAAGCTTTTTTAATTTTCTTTGTGTATCATGTGATTTGCTTTTTTGGGGGAGGAGGTTTTACAAGGTCTTTAGTTCCATTCCAAAACCTGCCTCTGGTTCATAGACGCTCCAAATATAAAAGATAGACAGTTTAATGCTCCTTCTTTTGGCCAAATTCAAAAGCAACGCATTGGTTTTGCGAAAAATGGTAGTTTAGTGAAAAATAAATGGTGGATGCAATAAATTAAATTCTGAATTTAAATTCATTTTGATGAAAAATTTTAGGGTTTTACAACTGTTCTGATACAGTATGATGATGAAAAAAGTCTCATTAAAAGAATAAAATTCTTGGAAAGAAACCAAGAAGTAAGTAGTTAGCATAATCTTTTATTGTTTATCAGAAAAAAAAATTGTTTTAACAAAACTTATTCACTGCTTACTAGTATTTGGAAAACATTTGTAATGTGATGTGGTGCAACTAACATACAGAAACATCTAATAATTTTACCTTTTTATGGCAAGGCAAGGTTAGATCAGCTTGTGAAATGTCATGTGGAGCGAGTTCCTAAAAACTTCAATAATCCATGACATTTGTTAAAAATACTTTTTATCTTACAAAATCAATTTAAAAAAAATAATGAAAATAATGGTTAAGATATGTACACTCAATATGTATTCAAGATGTAAGAGTTTATTATTCTTTTTACTTGATGGTTATTCCTCATGGTTATTCCTCATGTTTTATATATATAATATATATATATATATATACTGTATATATATATATATATATATAGAGAGAGAGAGAGAGAGAGAGAGAGAGAGAGAGAGAGAATATATATATATATATATATATATAGAGAGAGAGAGAGAGAGACAGAGAATATATATATATATATATATATATACAGTATATATATATATTGCATAATGTTTCTTAAATCAACTGTATTTTTTTATTTTTTTTATAAATAATACGTTGCTGCCTATTTAGAATGTTTCAAATCATTTATGAGCTTCCATTTCGGTAGGGATGTACACAGAGAGGCAGCTCACTAGATTTTGGCACAGACCTTTTTTGTGTAGGCTTTTGTTAACCCAGTGCATTTCTTCTGATTTCATCTCATCTTTGTTTCACTTTGATATTCTGTTAAATTGGATGAAGCGCCTTGGTATGGCTTCTCGTAGTGTGAACACTTGATTTGAGTTTGCTGGCTTATGTTCTGTAGTGTCTATAGTGAAGGGGACTGCTTTGATGGTGTGGAGAATGGAGGATGGAGCAGGTGTGTCAACCGCACTGGTGACAAACCATTAGAGTCTCTCGGCTGGAGCCGTTAGATCTTATTCATCTTCACACTGTGGACAGAACAAGAGGATCTGAAGAACTCGCACATGCACACACACACACACACACACACACACACACACACATATACACACACACGTTTTGCGGTGTTTGTTTTCTTGTAAGATGAAAACCTGATCTATATTAAGTTAAGGCTAGATCCTATCAAAATAAAATACAGGTTTGTTTGGATTAAATACCTTACTTGTAGAACATTTTTATTGTCAATATCAGTAAATAAAAAAATGCCCCACTTTTCAAGCAAAACCGTGTTTTTTTTCTGTGTCCACAGAAGAAAGAAAGACTGAGTAATTTTATGCAAGGATGAGTAAACAATGACAGAATTTAGATTTTTGGGTGAACTATCCCTTTAGTGTCCAAATGCTTTTTAGGTCCACAGTATATCCACACTGTACTTTGTCTGCATATGAAGTCCCAGTTTCTAGCCAAGTGACTGATGTTTCTGTGTCTTGAGTCGTACCTTCCTGCAGGTGCTCAATTTGTGTCTAAATTGCCCCAGCCAGCAAACTCATTTCAGAAGAGCTGGGTTGAAGCCATACCGTGTGAAAACTCTTAATGAAGTGGCTTTCTCTCTCTGAACCCCTGTCAATCTCTGCTCATCCACTTCCACTTGGTCATTCCAGTCAGTTCGGCCTTTAGCGCCAAATCCGCCTTGACCAATCCCATCCTGTCACATACAACACGGGGAATATCTTCAGTATGAGTGACAGGAGCTACTAGCAATTTCTTTTTTTGTCTGATAAAAGAGTTTTGTGTTAAAAGATGTTACATTCTCAATCTTCGGCCTGTCATGGTGAGATCTTTTGCAATTTTGTGAATCTCAAGTAAGTTGTTTGTTTTTGTTTTGCAGATTCTTGCATGGTGAATACACAGTGGAGGTGGCCATCAACGACTACCTGGACATCTACTGTCCGCACTACGAGGACCATCTTCCTCAGGAGCGCATGGAACGTTACATTCTTTTTATGGTCAACTATGACGGCTACACCACCTGCAACCACCATATGAAAGGCTTCAAGCGCTGGGAATGCAACCGCCCAATGAGTCCAAACGGGCCCCTTAAGTTCTCAGAGAAGTTCCAGCTCTTCACACCCTTCTCTCTGGGCTTTGAGTTTCGCCCAGGCCATGAATACTACTACATCTGTGAGTAACTTTCTCCTTTCTAACTCTCAGACTTCAACTTCAAATCCCTCATCTGTGTTTTCTTGTGACCAGGTGTCAGTATGCCCCCAGGGTGCAATCATTCCTTGAACTGATGGTTCTTGGGTTACAGGAACTGGGGTGTAGAGGGTAAATGAAGACTTAATAAGGACGCGTAGACTTCACAACAACATCTGATCAATAGCATGTGCCACATGATTCAGTCTTCTGAAACCTGTTATGTGGTCTCTAGAGACATATGGCAGAAAGAACAAAAAAAACTATGTGCCAGTCAGTCTTTGGTTTATGTTAAAAAGATATGGTTTATGGAACCAAATGCAAATTGTAACAGAAACTTAAAATTACAGGTTACACATCTTGAATTTACATGGAACCAATTTGTTATTCACAATGTTGTATTTGAAGCAGAATGTTGTTTGTAAATGGCTAGTAAACAGTGACTCATCCACAGTAGCCGGGTTTTCCCAGAGTAAACAGAGAGAAACATAATTCTCCTGAAATCTCCCTGATTTGATATCACAAATATAACATATTTTTTTTTTGTTCTTCCCTCTCGTTTTTTTGTGTTGTTATTTCCCTGGTGTTTGTTTCTGAAGGAAGATTTAATCAGGTTTGACGAAGGCTGAAGGAATGGGTCTTCACATCAGCAGGAGCTTAAAGGATAGTTTACCCAAAAATGAAAACTCTGCCATCACCTTCTTGTCCCATTCCAAACCTGTATGATTTTCTTTAATGGAACATAAAAGAGAAATTTAGCAGACATTTTGCTGCTGTTCTTTTCTATACAATGAAAGTGAATGGGGACCAAGGGCTGTTATAAATATTGCATTATTATTTAAGAAATGCAGTATTGTTATGTAACTTTTATGGCACTTTTTTTAATTTGTTTATTTTTTTACTAATTGTATTATTCAAAATCTTGATGGTCCCTGGTCACATTTACTTTTATTGTATGCTACACTTCACATTTGTGTTCCAAAGCAAGCTTTTTCATCCTTGGAATTTAATGCCAGGTGGATCACTCTTTTCCAATGCCAACATTTATTGGAGACATTTATTATAGCAATTTGAATGTCTAGGAGTTTAATCAGAGTCATCAGGGCAGTCCTGTTCTACTCCGGAACTCCCCTGGGAGCAGAGTTTGGCAGTAACCTGATGTCTCTGTCTGATGAAAATGTCAATTTGTTGAATGGCATGTGCACTATTAGCTGTGCTCTTTGCCACTCTTGGTGAGATCGGTGCAAAACCAGTTACCAAGGCCATCATGCGTAACTGTCCAAATTATGCTGATTGGTCAAATCATATTTAACAGAAGGATCCTGATGGGAGTAATTGCATCTCCAGCTTCTGGGGTGCCATCCATTACCATTTTTCAGATAACAACAGCTAAAAGCCATTAACCTGGAGGGGGAGTTTTTGGCTCGGGATGGTGCCCGGATGACAGGCCTGACACTTCGTCCTACGGAGGCGGCCCGCCCACCGCCTCAAGGTCAGGCCTTCGCCTGGCCGGACGAATCAAGTGGGGTTCTGCTTTATCCTCTTCTTTCGCTCTCACTTTCATGACAGGGGGGAATTTGCTGGGGTGCATCTGTCCCTGTTTCACTAATGGTCTTCTGAAAGGTGTCCTTTGGCCTGATAAATAGGGCTCCCGCTGGGCACAGGCAAAAGAAAAAGGCTCAGGGCAGCACGACGGATGCATTAATAAGGCAATTTCTCTTCTTTTTTATCCTCACTTATGCTTTTTTTTGTCTGCATGTGTGTGTTTATTCTGACTTTTAGAAGATAGAAGAGAGTTTGAGAGAAAAGTTTCCTCTGATAAAAGAATGCAGCTTTAAGTAGAATGGCATGATTTTTATCGCTCACCCTGCTTACCATGTCCCGGATTGCCTTAGAACTGTCCCTGTGCCCTCAGAGATCGGCAGTTCAGAAGTTCGTTGGACACAACTTGTGGCTCTGCTCATAACTATAACCACCCATTGTGTCACAGGACACCTAATCCTATAAGCATAGTCACACAAATTGCTCTTTTGAAATCTAAAATTTTGTCCTAATACAAGTTGAAGAGTAATTTCTAATAGTTCATGGCCATCTGTTGTATCCAAAAGCCAAAGATTTAGAGGCCAGAAACACTGAGGGCACAAGGAGTAGTGTTACCTTTTACCTTTTTATGTAACAAAAAGTTTGCTGATAATGCTAACTTTATTCAGCACAAATAAAACACATCTTAAAGGGATAGCTCACCTAAAGATGAAAATGTTGTTCCAAACCCAACGCAATATCATGAGAAATTTTTACTATTTTATGTTTTGCCGATTTGGAGGCAAATTCATAAAATTTTAAGTCGTACAAAAACATGATTTTAAAAATCTAATTCATTTAAATTTGCCAACCATTTGCAGAAACATAAAATAGTTAGGCATTGCCACGAGGTCTAGACCTTTTTGACTTTCTTTCTTCATTAGAACACAATCAACAAAAGAAAATTAGAAGAATATTCATTCTGCTCTTTTGCATACAATAATGGTGATAGGAGGACACTGTAAAGCTCCAAAAGGGACAACAAAATGTACTATTAACCCTCTTTTGGTCCCTTATATACAGTTAACACTTAGGGTATTTGGGGTCATTTTGACCCCAAACTTTTACAGAGCGATTGTATAAGTGAATCAATCAAAACTAACTTTAGCTGGAAAATAGCATTATTCAAGAACCGCTATGAAACCAAACCAATCTGTGTTACGTTAAATTATATTAAGTTTATCTCTGTAAAGCAGCTTTGAAACAATCTACATTGTTAAAAGCGCTATATAAATGAGGATGACTTGACTATAAAAAATATACATTTTTAATAATACAAATGATAAATCAGATTTTTATTTACTTCTCAGTTATATGTTTATGCTGTTTTTTAGGGATATATGATACTTACCCATTTACCGCAAAATGATTCAACTAGACCATTAATTTGCTTAAGAAATATTAAATTTGTATGAAAAAAAAAACTTGTTAATGTTGATCAAAATGAATATGTGTTATTTCTGGATATTGATCTATGTGCTAGGGGCAGAATTCTGTCATCTGCTGGTTAGAGAAAAAACAGTAGGAATTACAATTGTAGAAACAAAGTTTAAAGACAAGATATATCAAGCAGAGGCCCCATAGAGATCCATACATTTTTTCTAGAGGTGGCCAACTGCTCCTCTCACAACTTTTGTGATAAATATTTTGTGAATATACACTCACCGGCCACTTTATTAGGTACCCCATGCTAGTAACGGGTTGGACCCCCTTTTGCCTTCAGAACTGCCTCAATTCTTTGTGGCATAGATTCAACAAGGTGCTGGAAGCATTCCTCAGGGAGTTTGGTCCATATTGACATGATGGCATCACACAGTTGCCGCAGATTTGTCGGCTGCACATCCATGATGCGAATCTCCCGTTCCACCACATCCCAAAGATGCTCTATTGGGTTGAGATCTGGTGACTGTGGAGGCCATTTTAGTACAGTGAACTCATTGTCATGTTCAAGAAACCAATTTGAAATGATTAGAGCTTTGTGACATGGTGGAAGTAGCCATCAGAGGATGGGTACATGGTGGCCATAAAGGGATGGACATGGTCAGAAACAATGCTCAGGTAGGCCGTGGCATTTAAACGATGCCCAATTGGCACTATAAGGGGCCTAAAGTGTGCCAGGAAAACATCCCCCACACCATTACACCACCACCACCAGCCTGCACAGTGGTAACAAGGCATGATGGTTCCATGTTCTCATTCTGTTTACGCCAAATTCTGACTCTAACATCTGAATGTCTCAACAGAAATCGAGACTCATCAGACCAGGCAACATTTTTCCAGTCTTCAACTGTTCAATTTTGGTGAGCTCTTGCAAATTGTAGCCTCTTTTTCCTATTTGTAGTGGAGATGAGTGGTACCCGGTGGAGTCTTCTGCTGTTGTAGCCCATCCGCCTCAAGGTTGTGCGTGTTGTGGCTTCACAAATGCTTTGCTGCATACCTCGGTTGTAACGAGTGGTTATTTCAGTCACTGTTGCCCTTCTATCAGCTCGAACCAGTCTGGCCATTCTCCTCTGACCTCTGGCATCAACAAGGCATTTCCGCCCACAGAACTGCCGCTCACTGGATGTTTTTTCTTTTTCGGACCATTCTCTGTAAACCCTAGAGATGGTTGTGCGTGAAAATCCCAGTAGATTAGCAGTTTCTGAAATACTCAGACCAGCCCTTCTGGCACCAACAATCATGCCACGTTCAAAGTCACTCAAATCACCTTTCTTCCCCATACTGATGCTCGGTTTGAACTGCAGGAGATTGTCTTGACCATGTCTACATGCCTAAATGCACTGAGTTGCCGCCATGTGATTGGCTGCTTAGAAATTAAGTGTTAACGAGCAGTTGGACAGGTGTACCTAATAAAGTGGCCGGTGAGTGTATATTTAAAAATTATAAAATCTCTCCGGGCCATCAATGAGACGGCCAAGTCAGTCGGCCGCTCTATCGCAGCCCTGGTGGCCAATGTTACGGTGTTTTTCATTTTGTCATGTTTCTGGTTTGTGGTTTCTCTGTCTTTGGTCTTTTATTCAGTTTGTGCCTTGTTAATTGTAGTCTGTTATCCTAGTCATGTCATTATTAGGTCCCTTGTTTCAGGTGTGTTGTCTTGTTAGGTTGTATGGTCCCGCTCGTTGTTCTGATTTGCCCCAGCTGTGTCTTGTTCCCTGATCCCCTCTGTGTATTTATATCCTGTCTTCTCTTTTGTTCATGGTCAGTTATTGAATGTATGTTTGAATGTGCGTACCACGAGTGTCTGTTCTGAATCTGTATTAAAGTCTACTGCTGCGTTTAGATCCGACTTCAGCCTTTGCTTCCACGCAAATCGTAACAGAATAACTGACCCACTAGGATCTAGCAGCCATGCCTACCTGGAGTCCTGATGTCCAGATCCTCCATCTTCGCCAGGAGAATCGCGC